ACCTTAAAGCAGCGGGCACCGGGGTGCTGCGGGGACACGGGCCCCTTCCCTCCACCGCTCTCCTGGAAAAGGAACTGGAGAGGGCGAGGGCTGGCCTCCCCCCCACCCGCAGGGGAAGCCTCGGGGACACGCGGGGAGTGGGGCCACCCCTCCCCGCTCCCGTCTGTTCCCACGCACGGCCCCGGAGTGAGGCGGGTCATCCCGACGCGCGTGTGCATGAGACGCACTTCTTTTTTTACCTTTCCATTTTTTATTTTTTTTTAAGACCTTAAAATATGTCAAATGCCAAATTTAAATTTCTTTCCAGGTCGAGGAGACGGTGGGGTGAGAGGAAGTGCGGGTGGTAAACGTGGGCAGGCAGGGACGGGCAGCGGGCAGGGTCAGGCAGCGAGCAGGGACAGGCAGAGGGCAGGGACGGGCAGCAGGCAGGGACGAGCAGCGGGCAGGGGTAGGCAGTGGACAGGGTCAGGCAGTGGGCAGGGGCGCGCAGCGGGCAGGGGAGAGCAGTAGGCAAAGAGCTGTCGTCGGGCTCTGGGCGTGGGTGTCTGTGGAGCTGCCGGCTCCGTCGTCTCTTCCTGCCTGGGCTCATCCAGGCCACTTATTCCCGAAACCGGGGCCAGGCTTTGGGCGTCAGCCTTGCCTGAGTTTGCCAGGGGTCTCAAATATGCGACAGAGCAGATTGAGGACGGGCTAGTGGTTGGTTTTAGCTGCAAGGCTGGTCTCGGTGTGTGTGAGGGGGGAGCCCAGGGCATGGATACCCTCCTCCCTAGCGCTGCACAGCCCAGACCTGCCCCGTCCCCAGCTCTACAGAACCCAGCTCCACAGTCACGGACCGTCCCGATTTTCTGCACAGAAACACGGGACTACCTTTCGCTCCCCAAACGTGTCTGGGTGCTTCTGCCGGAGCCACGGAGCATCCCCCGGGCTGTCACTGCACAAATCTCTCTCCCCCTGCTACGCCGTCATCCCCGTCTGCTGCTCCCGGGCCGTCCCGGACTGCCCCGGCTCCTTCCCTGAGGGAAGTGGGAACAAAACCTGCACCGAGTGCCCAGGTCCAGCCCCTGCCCGCGGGTGCCGGCTTCCACTCTGCTTGTTTGTTTGTTTTTAAGGCAATGCGAATTTGTTTATAAAATTGACTCTGGCCCTTTGAAACAAATTGTTATTAACCTTCCCCTTCTGAGCATTTCATAATCACAGATGTTAGTTTGGAGATGATATCCAAACATCCCAGGGGTACTTTTGATAGCTGCATGGGCGGGGATTGAATGTGGAGGTCGGATATTAAATCAGCGGGATACAGAATTACTTTTTTTTTTTTTTCCACAAACCCGAGCTGGCTAAATAGTTTCTCCCTCTAACTCTGATATGCATTTCACAATCAATGGCGCGGGCATTTGCATACATAGTGCCTGGGTGTGGGTTTGTACATCGCATGTGCCGTACCCTGCGTTAACGGAGAGCAGAGCGGAGGAACACCTTCACTAAACCTCAGTGCTCAGATGCTCATTGAACAGAGTTAGGGGGAAAATACGCTTAATTAATTACACGGAGGGGCTGGTTGGCACCGGGCAAGTGCGGATGTATTTTTGCTCGGCCCTGAAATACTTCCCTGGGTTGGTGGTTTTGTTTGGTTAGTTGATTCGGGGTTTTTCCCCGTTTTATTCTTTTTTTATGGGACTCTGCTGCTCTGGCTGGAGGGGAAGGAGTCTGCCCCGCTAGCTGGGGGAGGGAAATCTCAGGGAGAGCTGCCTGCCAGGAATAAAACGCTGCCAGGCGGTGGCTAACTCCAGGGCCAGTCCTGCCTCTGCCCCGACGCAACCTGGTTTTGGGGGAAACTCTGGCTCGGCTTCGGGGGTGCTCTGGGTTGGGATTTTGCCTTTTCCAAAACAAAAATGCTGTTTCAGAAAGCCGGTGTTGCTTTGCTAAAATTGCAAGAGGAGCTTGTGCGGCAGCTCATTCTGTTAAAATAATTTTTAATTTTAAATTATCGAGGGGTAATTTATCTGTGCCGTCCTTCCCAAGCCAGCGGGGAGCTGCTGCCCGGGCGTGGGAGCGCGGGCTGGGCGGCGCACGGGAACGAGCAGCCGCTCACAGGGTGGCGAAAAGCAGCAGCGGAACAAGTGTCTCCGAACCTATGCCTCTTCCCGCGGAAGCTTTCCCCAAAATATCGGAGGCAGGTGAGAAGTGCAGCCCGTGTGAGGAATTCGCTGCTCCCACTGAAGGCACGGCTTACAAATGGCAAATATTTTGTGTTCTGCTCTGGATAAAATCCAAGCAGCAGCGTGATATTTTCTGTCCTTGCTCCAGAGACTGAACTAACTTAGAGAAGTTCCACTACGATTTTTTTAAAATCTAAAACTAAATACCTATGCCTACTGGTATCACACATCTATTTTTTATTCCCAGTATTTCATACTGGGGGGGAGGACAGGTGGAAACTCCACCCCTGCCTGCACACTTAGGAGCAAGGCCAGAATTTCCCCCCAGTACAGGTTTAGTGGCTTCCTAAAAAAAAAGTTAAATAAAATCTCCGTGGGACTTATCCTCTCTCGTGTAACACACCCACGGTGCCGTTTTCTACCACTGAGCAACCGGAGCTATTTTTCAAACCAGACTTAAAACTCTTCTTTAATTCCCACTGCCACCGATTTTCTCCCTCGGGATTATAAATCACCTGCCTCTATTAGTGTTGGTGGTCAAAAAAAAAATCTCCTCAAAGATACGTAAACCAAAAAGGCTGGAAAAATAAAGAAGGTTTGGAAGCAGCAGGAACTCGCAGTATCCTGGTAGCATCCCCGGCACTCCCGTCACACTCATCCCCAGCCCGTTTCTTCGGGCAGGTGAAGCCCTTGGTGCACCACGCCAGCGGCAGCTCCTCTCCTGGAGAATTTTGCCCCTTGCAGAATGTATCTTAAAGTAGCAGCTTTTTAAAAAAATATATAAAGTAAAATATTAAATACACCTCCTCTTGGTTTTATCTGGGAGCGCGTCCCCTGCAGAAGGAACGACCCTAAGGGTGAGTGAGGCTCTGCCCTTCCTCCCTCTCCTCCTGCCTGTAGAAAGCTATTTCGGAGCTCTTGTGCCCTTTGTCGCAGCAAGGCGGGTGATCGTTTTATTTTTGTCCAGCCTGTCCTAAAATCGTGGTACTGTCATTTCCCGGGGCTGCCAAGCATTTTACAGGGTGCCCGGTTTCGTGGAGTGGCATCGGCAATATTCCATCCCCTCTTCCCGAGCTCCAGGGTTACGAGTTTTTCTAGCAGAGGTTTTCCAAACTCAGCCTGTCAGAGCATCACACCACCGGGTATTTAAAGTCTTGAAAAGGTGAAACCTGTTGACAGTACGTGAGATTAAAAAGATTTTCCTTTGCGTTTTCAGCTCCTTTTGAGCAGGAGGAGGAGTGCCCGAGAGGGGCTCGGTGCCGGCTGGCGCTCGTCCTCTCCTTCAGCTAGAAATGAATCCCCCAAAGTTTCTTCATTAAGTCAAAAGGCTGATGAAAAGCCTGGCTGCAAAACCACCTTTCTCATAAATCGCCACGGATTTCCCCCCACACACCCCGTAAAGAGCTGAAACTACGAAATACTTCTAACTCCAGCTCCAGTGCTCAGAAGTGCAGGCTAAGGACTGTATGAACATTTAGGGATATATATTCCCTAACAGCACTGCTCCATTGCAACGCCTGAGTGACACGGTTTGGATTTCATAATAAAGTGGGTTGTTTGGTTGGGTTTTTTTAATTATTATTATTTAATGCAGTCCTCGAGAATCGAAACACACAAAATGCAGCGAGAATGTTCACAATGTTGAGAACACAGTTGTAAATAGAAACATTCATATTTCATCCGATTATAAATATTTGATACTGCAATTGTAAAATGCACATGTTTTATAAACTGGAGAGAAGAAAAAAAAATCCTTTGCTTTCTTGCTAAAAGGCAAAGTCATTTAATCCTGGCTCCTAAGCAGCTGATGGTTATTCACAGAATTTAAAATTACAGTTTTTTATTTTATAGCTGGATTCTTCCTTTTTTTTTCTTTTTTTTTTTTTTTTAATTTTATACTACTATGTACAATGTGTATCTATTAGAGCTGCAAAATAAAGAGGCTTTAAGGCAAAGCGAGAAGTTCTTCACCCCCTAAACATCGTCGCAGGAGGGCCCGTTCCCGAGCAGCTGCCCACGCACACCCAGGCCCACGCAGGACACATCCCCCTCCGGAGTGGGGAGAGGGACCCCTCGCTCCGGGAGAAACGGGTTAAACACAGCACAGCGCCTCGGACTCCCGAAAAACTCCGATGAGAAGGGGGTGTCTGCGTGCGGAACGAGGGGGGGGAGCGTGGGGAGAAACACCCACCCGCACACGCTGTCTCGAAGCATCGCGCCAGCGGGGACCGCGCTGGGGGGGGAAGGGAGAACTAAAAACGTTACTTTATTTGGGGGGGGGGGCTAAAACGCTCCCAAATATTTCGGGGATGTGATGCCGGAGCGGAGCCGGGTCTCATCCCTCGGCCGCCCCCCGCGGAGGGGGAGCGGGGCCGGGAAGGAGCAGCATCCCGGAGCGGCTCCCGCTTTTCGGAGATGGGGTTCCCAAAGTTTTCCCAACAAGTTGGAAGGGAGGGGGGAGGGGGGTGCTAACCCCATCTCTATCCCTCATCCACGCCTGCAGCCTGCATTCCGCATCCATGGATGGCCGTGGGTCTCGCTGGGAGTGATGAAGGGGTAGAGGCTCAGGAGAGGCCCCCGAGCATGTTTTAAGAAGGTGTTTCCAGATTTGTCTCCCTATTGTCACTTATATTTTTTTCTTCCTTTTAAAATTAAATTCTCCATGTCTATCCCCAAAGTCAGCCCCAGACACCCCAACTCCAAAAACATAAAAAAAGAAGAAAAAAAAAAAAGAAAACAAAAAAAAAAAAAAAAAAAAAAAAAAAAAAAAAAAAAAAAAAAAAAAAAAAGAAAAAAAAAGAAAAGGGGAGGGGTGGGGTGAAAAAAAAAGTTGGAACTCATAGAACAAATAGGAGAACTATTTATTCAGTTCACAGTCCTGTGAAATGCAGCAATAAAAATCTTTGGACTTCAGCAAAAGTTGTTTTTAATTCTTTTTTTTTTTGAATTTCAAAAAACATTGTCCAATGTCCATTAAAACTGCGCTTAAGTCTATAAAAGGTAACTTAAGCATTAAAAAAAAAAAATCATAAAGATAGCATCTAAAATCTCCATACAACCGAAAAAAAAAAAAGCAAGCAAACAAACAAACCAAAGTCAACCAACCAGCCCAAACCCCCGAAATCAAAACCAACCAACCAAAAAAAAAAAATCAAAAAAAATCAAAAAATATTTTATAATCAGATATCTTGGATTTTTACACCACCTTACCTGTAAATTATATATACATAGAATATTGCAGAATTATATCTAATACACAATATTTTCACTATTAATGCTGGTATAATCTTTATACACTGGCCCTTATGTTTCTTTTTATTTTTTTTAATTAAATTATTGCATTGTATAAACTTTGACTGCAAACGGCCCCCCTCCCCTGCCTCCCCCCTCCCTCCCTCGCCTTCCCCCCACCCCCCCTTTCCCTTGGCTATTCACTGTCCGACTTGCCGTCTTTCGCCGTGGTGGAGTGGTTGTACAGCCCCTGGGCCATGAGGTGCACTGCCAGGGAGTTCTTGCTGCCCGTCGCCTTCTTGATCTTGGCTCGTTTATTCTGGAACCAGATTTTGATCTGGGACTCGTTGAGCCCGAGCTCCTGGGCCAGGCTCTGCCGCCGCTGCTCCGTCAGGTACCGGTTCGTCTGGAACTCGGCCTTGAGTCTCTGCAGCTGCTCGGCGGTGAAGGCGGTGCGCGGCCGCTTGTCCTCCTTGTTGGGGTTCTTCTTCTTTGGTTTGCGGGAGCGGGGACCTACGGCCGGGAGAGAGGAGAAGCACCGACACCGCCACGCTCCGCTGCGGGCGGCCCCACGCCAGGCGCGGTCCCGCGGGGGGGGCACCCACGCTCCGACAACACCACCACCACCCCCGCCAAGAAAAATAAACCCGCTTTGTGCCTCCGCTGCCAGGGCGATGCTCTGGAGGCGGTGGAACGGGAGCAGCAGACCCCGGCGCCCCCGCAGCCTCCTGTGCCCCAGCTCGCTGCCCGGCCGCCCCCCCCCACGTCCCCTTCCCCCTCAGCCACAAACACAGTTACCGACCCTCTGCATCCCGGGGATGGTCAGCAAGGAAAACTGCACCAGGAGCAGCCACACGGAGCTAAATTTTACACCCCGAAAAATATGTTTTAGTTTTTTTTTTTTTTTTTAAGAAAACCTCTTTACTTCTTTTACTTATCTTTTAATTTTTTTTTTTGGTGGGTCGCGATAAAAATTCTAATGGAAATCCTCCTCCTCCAGTTTACTTAGGGAGAAGCATTGCGCCTCTCCGCTGCAGTGCCCATATGGCGCTGCGCGGCCCGATCCGAATCGCCGGGATTATTCTCGGGAATATTATTCTCGGCAGCACAAGGAGCCTTTTCTGCCCGGGCCGAGCCATTGTGAGGATGTATGTTAATTAAATATTAACAAAGGAGAGCACCGGAGAACAATGGAGTAAATTCCAATTCAGCTCTGAATATTACCTCTGAGTAAGAGTTTGTTTTCAGACATTACGAACTAATTTTCATCTCGTTTTACGATCCCTCCTTCAGCCGGCCGGCTCCCGGGTGAAAATCCTACCTCGCTGCTTTTGTAAGAGAAAGATCCATATTTTTTTTTTCTTTTCCCTGGGAGCAGATCTCCTGTCTGGTGTTTCCCATGCCTTCCCCCAGCGCTTTCTACTTCTTTTTAAACAGGGTTTTACCGATCTGCCAGAACCAGTCCTGCTGTCCCCGCGGTAGCAGAAGGACATTTTACCCCCTGGCTTTATTTTTTAAATTTTTCTTTCTTTCTTTTATTATTTTTTTTTACGATAATTTCAAGAGGTTCTGCCCAAACCCTTGCCAAAGAAGTTCCTTGGTTCTTAGGAACGTCCCCCGGCCCCCACAGAGCTGACCTACAGCACATGGAGGGAAATTAAAAGAAAGAAACGAAACGGCGGCCGCTCCGAGGCCTCTTTTAGAGAAATAAACGACCGCGGCTTGTTTTTGGCGAAAAAAGACTAATCAAAACAAGGCGAGGCCTGTGGAAATGCCCTCTCCCCTTTCCAAAACACAGCGCGGGAGGGGGAGAGGTTCCTGGCGGGGAGGAGAGCTCTCCAGGAGGATAAGCGGGGAGCCCAAAGCCAGAATTTTTTCCTCCCTCTTTGATAAAACTCGGCTGTTGGTGAGAAATGCCCCGAGCCCAGGCGGCCCCAGCTCCGCCGCGGCGGCGGGGAGGGAGGGACCTCCGTTCCCTCCTCGTCCCTCCGGCTCCGCGCACCCACGGCCACCCCTTCTTCTCCCCGCATTTTCAGGTCATTTTAAGCAACTCCTTCTCCCACCCACTCCCCTCCAGAACAAAACAAAAAAAAGAAAAAAAAGAAAAAAAAAAAAAGAAAATAAGAAGACGGAGCAGGAAAGGGGAGCGGGGTCTCTTCCACGCCGCTTCCCGGCCTCGAGGGCGGGCGGAGGCGGCCCGAGGAGCCCGGGGAGGGTGATACAGCGGTGGGGGAGCGGGGCCGCGACGGGGCAGCGCTTACCTGAGGAGGGCCGGTCCGAGTACCGCGTGCAGTACACCCAGGCGGGCCACAGCATGGGCTGGTTCCCGGCGTTGGAGCTGGCCTGGGAGCTATCCGAGTCCGAGCTCACCGACAAGTCGCCGCCGCTCAGCCCCCGCGCCTTCAGGGCCGCCTCCAGCGCCGCGGGGTCGCCCCCCTTCTTGGCGGCGCCGTGCAGGGCCAGCCCGGCGGGGCCGCCCTCCCCCCGGCCCGGCGAGCCCGCCCCGCCGCCGGGCAGCGCAGCCCCGGGGGCCGGCGCCGCGGCGGGGCTGCGGCGGCTCTCCGCGCCGGGCCGCCGGGGCTCCGCGCCGGGGCCGCCCACCTCCTTCCTTCGCCCGAACTCGGGCCGCAGGATGTTGTCGATGAAGAAGTTGGTGATGCGATGCGGGTGCGGGTGGGGGTGCGGGGGGTCACCGGGGGGGAGCAGCAGCCCCCGCCGTCCGCCGCCGCCGGGCTCCGCGTCGCCGCCGGACTCCTGCGGCTCGGCCGCCTCCTCCCGGGGGCTCCGGCCGCCCTCCTCCATGCTGCGCGGCCGCCCCGCCGACGGCTCCGCTGCCCGCCCGCCGCCGGCCGGGAGCTGCCGAGCGCTGTCTCTGTTGTTGCTCCTGCTGTCGGTTGTTTTTTATTTAATTTTTTTAATATATATATTTATATATATATGTCTATATACAACGCACGCACAGGTGTCTATTTGCTTTCGTTTCTCCTGGCTTCGCCGGGCATTCAAAATCCAGAGTTCGAAAAAAAAAAAAAAAAAATTAAAAATTAAGAGTCATTAAAAAAAAAATAAAAAAAAAGAGACAAATGCAGGGAGATCCCCTCCCCAAGCCAGCAGCCGAACCTCCACCACTTCCAACTTTGCCAAAAAATGAAAACACAGAGAGGAGGCTTCGGTCCTCCCGCCGCCGCTCCGCCGCCTCTCGCCGCCGCTCAGCCGCTCGGTCCCGCGGTGCGCTGCCGCCTGCTCCCCCGGCCGCCGCTGCCGCCGCCGCCGCGCCTCATCCGCGGAGGAAAAAAAATTAGTGGTAATAAAAATAATAATAATTGGGGGGCGGAAGGGGGTTGGTGGTGGTGGGGTGGTAGTGGGGGGGGATGGGGGTGCGCAAAGAAAAAAAAACGAAGCGCCGGTGTCGGGGCGGGGTGTAGGCGGGCTCTCAGCAGCCGGTGTCCCGCGGAGGGCAGGGCGGTGAGGGGCGCCCCGCGGGGCTCCGGCCGGCAGCGCCTCGCCCCGCGCCGCCCCGCGCCACCCCGCGCCCGCACATGCGGGGGCCGCCGCGGGTGGGGAGGGGGGGGGGGGCGTCCCGCCCTGCCCTGCCGCCCTCCCTGCGCCGCGCTACGCCCCGGCGGCCGCCGCCGCCGCGCCCGGGCACTTCCACTCGGGTTGTTGTCCTTTTAGGTTTTAACGGGGCCCCCGCCGCTGACGTCGCCGGCCCGGGCGCTCCGACACGTGCCTCGGGCCAATGGTAGCCCGGGCGAGCGCACACGTGGTGCGGGGCGCCCCGGTAAGTGACAGCGCCCACGCCCCTCCCACGGACGGGCCCGGCCGCCGCGGGGATGCGCGGGGGGGAGATGCGGGTGCCCCCGCGCGGGGCGCGCACCGCAGCAGCCCCCCCGCCCCGGCCTGTGTGTCCCCCCCGTACTCCTTTCCCAGAGATGAGTTATCGGGGGTTTAATTGCCCCGGTGTTTACCGGGGGAGGGGGGCCGGCATCCCACAATTCCTTGCAGAAACGCATAAATAATATTAAGCGAGCGGAGGCGATACAAAGGGGTCCGGGGGGGGGACTTGGGGGGGCGGAACAGGCCCGGCCCGGTGCCCGCGGGCTGCCCGGGGGGGCCCGTCCCTTCCCCGCCGCGCGGTTCGGCGGTAATTGACTCGTCCTTCCCGCAGCCGGACAGGAGCCTTTGATCTGCCCTGACTGCTCCCCAAATGGCATTGCGGCGCTGTGCTCCCCCCTAAAACGCTGGCCTGTCTACCTCCGGACCCCTCCAAAGCCCCCGCTTCTTTAGAAGGGGAAAGCTACCGCTGCTGCTTTGCTTGTTGTCTTTAGGGAGAAATACCCTGAAACAAAATTAGGGAGCCAAGTACGGCTGCATGGCCGAAGGGTCGAGAGGGGGGCTGAACAGGTTGGGGGGCACGGATCCTCGGCGGGGCGCGCAAGAGAGGAGCGAGGATGCGGGCGCGGTTCCTCCCCTCGCAGCCGGCCCGTTATCCCTCCCCGGGGCCCGCACGGTGCCACCGCCCCGACGGGACGCACGGAAAAGGGCTGCGCGGCCCCGCGAAGCGCCGAGCATGGTTGGGAGGTGGTGGCTCGGCTCCGGTGTCCGCCGCATCGCGACCCTCGGCTCTCCCCCTAAGTGACATTTTCACTTGGACGTGGCTTCCCTGCGGTGACGCGCATCACTCGCCGCCTTGAGGGAAAGGGGCAGAGAGTCCTTCCTCTCCTCTTCTTTTCCTTTTTGCTTTCCTTTTTCTTATTCTTTTAATTTCCCCTTTTCTTTTTAAGGTATTTTTTATCTAATTTTAAATCTTTCTCCCTATTTCCTTTGTATTTCACAGCGGGTCAGGTCCACCGGTGAAAACCAGCAGTGGCTGATCCAAAGTTGTTTTGCTCAAACAAGCACCCAAAGGTTAATTTCTTCAAGCGCCCCATGAAAAGCGATTAGCCTGTCTCCCAAGAAGTATTTTCTAATTACTTGGAAGCTCTCGCTTTGCTACTACCCCATAATTAAAAGTGTTCAAGGTGCTGCACTTCAAATATTTCGCTCCCGGGCGGACCCAAGCTACTGATAAAAACTTCAAACCTCCTTGAACCGCGCATTACCTGCCCACTCGCTGCCCGTACCGCGTTAACCTTTCCATTCGTTATCCCGCTCCTTCGCGGGAATATTTATACCCTGCATAGGACAGGGAAGAGAATTCCTGAGGTAAACTCCGAAGAAGGAGATAAACAAAGCTGTACAAAACAATTACTGCATCTGCCTATCCTCTGACAATAATCCAGCACCTCAGGTATGCAGAGGCGGGGGGGGGGGGGGGGGGGGGGGGGGGGGGGGGGGCGGCGGGGAGTGAAGGGGTGATCTGATACCGAACCGAGAAAATCTGAATGGTCTCTTTTTTTTTCCAAGGTTATTTTTATCTGGGAGTTCAATCTCTGTAGAAACATTCCCCAGCAGCACGTTTGCTCGCCGGTCTGCGGGCGACTCGCCAGCGGCATCGCGGCTTGCAGGGGCTTTTCCTTGGAAACCACTGCGGGTCACCGGGAGAGGTGGCTTGGAAATGCGATTTTGGCTTCGTTTGCTTCTTTGCTTCAGCCTCCCCTCGCAGACCTGGTGCCTACAAATATCACCTCTCCGCACACCAGCCAGATTTCTTTCCCTTATGCTCCCCGCGTAGTTTCAACAAGGCTCATTCTATGCTGCCACTCACTAAAAATATGTATATATATTTTCCGTCTCGCAAACAGGTGAGTGTGCGGGTGCAGCGGACCCCACACACCCTGCCTTTTGCTCGGCGCTTTTGACACTGAGAAGTTTAGAAACAGGATGATAACCCGTGAGCTCGGTACGGGGAAGGAGGGAGGGAGAGAGCGGCCGACCCCCGCCCGCTGGCGGGCTGCGGGCAGGCTCTGCGGCAGGGGCCGGGCTGCGGGAAGGCTCCGGGGCCGTTCGTTCTGTTCCCCAGAGCAAACCCTCCTTCCAGCTTTTCCCCACACTCGGGGAAAAAAACCAACCACGAGGTGCTGAGAAGCCAAAATACCCAAAGGAGTAGTGGGAGTCCAGGGAGGGGCTGCACCTCTCGCCCTTCCAGAGCGGGGTGGCTGCCTGCAAAACGCTGGCATGCACGAATTTCGTCGGGTTTTCAGCGATTCCCCCGTTTCCAGACAGACCCCGCCCGTGCCGCCGGGGGAGGTCTGGCAGCGAGGTTACCCCGTGGGCACAGCCTGGGCACAGCGCCGCGCCCCTCTGGCAGCCCCCATGTCCCTCCCGCTCACACCCGGTATCACTTTATTTCCGAGCGAAGCCTTTGAGGCAGCCTTGCCAGCGTGTTGGAGCTGCTGGAGGAGGATAGAGGAGAGGGGAAGAGGTCGCTGCTCCTCCTTCCCCTGGCCAGGCTGGCCATGCCGCAGGCGATGTGCCCGGCGCTGCCCGGCCTTCACTGGGCTCTCGCATCAATTTTGGAAGGGGAAAACCAGCAACGACCCTCGCTCAGCCCCAGGCAGGCTTTCCCCGGAGCCGGCGGGCCGGGAGAGCTCAGCCAACACGGCCGCGTTTCCCCAGTGCCGCCGGGTTCTCACTGTGCCGCCGACAACCACAAAAATAAAACCCCCTAAAACCTCCGGATTTTCCCAATTGCCCCCGTGCCAGGCAGGATAAAGGGCGTTTTGCTGCCTCTAAGCTCACACGCAGCAGCCTGTGGTGGGACTGGCAGCACCCATCCATCCACTTCACCACGCGGGGAATACTTTCCCGTCAACGGGAGCAAACAGACGGTTTGGAAAGCCTGGCTTCCACTTTCTTGCAGGATCATGAAAATTTTATGAGCTGCTCGTGGAGAGGGCAGAGCCCGGCCCGGCCCGAGATGGGGATCCCAACCGAGCGGCCGGGGGCACCCGCGTGGGGCACGGGGGATGCTCGGGAGGGAACTGATGAGGGTGAATGTCACAGTCCTGACTCGGGAAGTAGCGTTCGGTCACGGCTACGTCCGTAGCACGGAGTGACAGGGGGGTAAACACCCCCTCCCGCCTCCCCTTCCCACGGGATGGAGGGTGCGCGGGTGGGGTGGGAGAGCCGGCCCCTGCCTCGCCCTGCCCCTGGCCCGGCCCTGGCCCTGGCTCGCCCTGCCCTTGGCCCTGTCCTCCTGCTGCCCCGTCCTTCCCCTGCCCTTCCCCCGGCCCCTCTTCTTGCCCTGCCCCTGCAAAGCAGCGCCCTCCCCTCCCACCCACCGGCTGGGACTAGGGCAGCCCTCCTGGTCCCCATCGAAAACTATCAAATAACAATAACAAAACCCCCCAATTTCGTCAAAATTCAGTAGGGTCAAAGTAAACGACTGTCCAGGGCACAATTATATAATGGTGGTTGGCGAAAGAAAGAATGAAGAGATAGAGAAGAGAGGAGAAGGGGAGAAAAGGAAAGGAAAGGAAAGGAAAGGAAAGGAAAGGAAAGGAAAGGAAAGGAAAGGAAAGGAAAGGAAAGGAAAGGAAAGGAAAGGA